TCTGTCCATTTAAATATGTAATTTCCCAAGCCTATATACTAAAACTTACATATTAGCAATCTGTGAGGGACTGTGAGGGGAATTTATCAAAACTGGAGCAGACAGAATCTGGAGGAGACAGAATCTGGAGCAATTGCCCATGGTAACCAATCAGCATCTCTCTTCAGTTTGCTCAGGTACGATTTGAAAATGAGACAGGAAAGCTGATTGGTTGCAGTGCAAATCTGTTCTAGATTTTGTCTGCTCCAGTTTTGCTATATTCCACTCTGTGTGTTTAGCAATGCCCAAGGATACAATATCCACAGACTCCTATCTAGGATGATACAGATCCAAAAATTATACTTATTAGATGTCCTATAAGACACCATGAGATGATTATAGGGAGCCATTCATAGACCATTTGTGAGGATGTAGTTTTGTCAAAATGGAGCAACTGGAATTCAATACTGGATCATGGTCTAACCATAGTACAGGCTAGACTGAGACTAAAACAACAATAGACAGAAACTGTCATGGCTAAATGTTGGTTAGTTTGAAAGTGAAAGCCATGTGGGCTAAAAAATAGGATTGTCACTGGATCAGGCATGTAGATCTCTCTAATAACTGATCAAACCATACTGATGAAGTAGATAACAGAAAGCTTTGAAGTCCATGACAGAGAAGTAAACCAAATATCCCAAATTTTGGAATATGTTTTAGTTAGTCTCCAGTATTTAGGAATTGTTAGTTGTGCACCCTTTCTAGGATTCTTGCAAAGAGAATATCTGCCATTAGGTCAGGCAAATCAACAAAATGCCTTGTGGCCTTCCCTGTCTTTGATAGGATCTGCAGCTAGAAAAAACTGAGAAACTGGGAAAGAGTAAATAAGCAAATGACATGAATATCCTGGTGGTAGCCACAGAAGTGAACAATCTAGGCCAACATAGCTCAACTGGAAAGTGAGCTGAATTGGAAAAAGTTTTCCAAATCAGCTATTTTGGCCTAGATTACATAGTCACATATTTAGGTTGAAAAAAGACACATGTCCATCTAGTTCAACCTATAGAGATATGGAGAAAAAAGAAGAAAAGCCTAAACAGAACACTATGCCCACAATTACCCACTGTTGATCCAGAGGAAGGCAAAAAAACCCTATAAAGTATGGGTCAATTTGCTCTAACAGGGGAAATAAATTCCTTCTTGATCCCATAAGGCAATCGGATATTCCCTGGATCAACAATCTCTGGTGCTTAATATACCTATAAGAACTCAATATCCAGTAATATTCTGTGCATTTAGGAATACATCCAGATTTTTTTTTTAAACAATTATCTGAGCTAGTTAGAACCAGCTCCTGAGGGAGTCTGTTTCACATTGTCACAGCTCTAACTGTGAATAATCCTTTCCGTATGCAGAGGTTAAACCTCTTTTCCTCTAGAAACAAAGAGTGCCCCCTTGTCCTTTGCAGTGACCTTAAAGTGAATAATTTGGCACCAAGCTCACTATATGGACCATTTATGTATTTATGCGTAGTAATCATGTCCCCCCCTTAACAAATTCAGTGCAACTAATCTTTCCTCATAGCTGAGCTCCTTCATGCCACTTATGAGTTGGGTCGCCCTTCTCTGCACTTTCTACAGTTCCACAACATCCTTTTTGTGAACTGATTCCCAAAACTGAACTGCATATTCTAGATGAGGTCTTACTAATGCTTTGTACAGGGGCAAGATTATATCTCTGGAGTCTAGACCCCTTTTAATACAAGAAAGTATGTTGATTGCTTTAGAAACTGCGGCTTGACATTGCATGCTATTATTCAGTCTATGGTCTATCAGAACACCCAGATTTTTCTCCATTATTGACTCCCCAAACATACTCCCCCTAGAGAGTATGATGCATGCATGTTTTTAGTCCCCAAGTGCATAACTTTACATTTATCAACACTAAATCTCATTTGCCAAATAGATGCCCAATCATACAGTGCATTCAGATCTGCTTGTAAGTTGGAGACATCCTGTAAGGACTGTATTCCACTACATAACTTGGTGTCATCTGCAAACACAGAAATAGTACTTTGAATCCCCAACTCTATGTCATTTATAAATAGGTTAAACAGTAAGGGGCCCAAAACTGAACCTTGGGGGACACCACTAACAACCTCGGACAATTCAGAGTATAAATCATTGATCACCACTCTCTGAATATGGTCTTTAAGCCAGTTTTCTATCAAATTACAGAATGAATACTCTATAGCAGGGGTCAGCAACCTTAAACACTCAAAGAGCCATTTGGACCCGTTTCCCACAGAAATGAAAACACCGGGAGCCACAAAACCCTTTCTAAAATGAAGACGTCGTTATTGTTTTTTTACCTTTTTGCTATGTATAGCATGTATATAGGTATATGTGGGCTTAGTAACGCACTGGACTCTGGGCTTACCTAAGACCCTGCAGAGCACACCATAGATCCTGCATGGCCCATCTGAGACTCTCTATGGTGGGCTCTGCAGGGCCTCAGGTGGGCTGGTCGCCGGGCTCCCTTTTCCTGTACCTCCTCCCAACCCCTCTTACCTGCTGCTGCTGGGGCCTGGGCTCCTCCACCCCCTCCCTTGTTACCTCTGCCATGCCGCCCCTGGTACAGCTGATGTAAGAGGCCCCCCAGACCCCTCACATGGGTACCGGCCATACCCCCCTGATGGTTGAGTTCTATCAAAGGTTGTGACTATGTTAGAATGTATGACCGGTGACATGGTCACACATTTCAATGTAATCCCGCCCAGTTTATTGGCGGCGGAATGTGTGACCGACAATAGGTCAAGTATTCCAATGCTTTCTCAGCTGTTCAGGGCAGATCGGCATCGCAAATCGTATGTGCAGGAGAACCGATCTGCCCTGGAACAGCTGTTCGGTCCTGAAATGTCACTTCTCTCCGACTGCGATCTCACATTCCACCGCACTCACAAAGTCAGATAGAAGTGGCATTTCAGGACCGATCAGCTGTTTCAGGACTGAACACCTGGACAGGGAACCGCAGCAGAGGGATGAAAGAACCACATGCGGCTCCGGAGCCGCAGGTTGCTGACCCCTGCTCTATACCTAATGACCTTAACTTATACATTAGCCGCATGTGGGGAACTGTGTCAAATGCTTTTGCAAAGTCCAAGTATACTGTATCCACAGCCATTCCTCTATCCAATTTATTACTCACTTCCTCATGAAAAGAAAGTAGGTTTGTTTGAAAACTTCTGTCCTTTGTGAATCCGTGCTGACTATCGCTTATGATATTATTTTAAAGCAAAAACAATTGCATGTGATCCTTGATCAAACTTTCAAGTATATTCCCAACTATTGAAGTTAAACTTACAGGTCTGTAATTACTTGATAAAGACTTTGATCCTTTTTTAAAGATAGGCACCACATTGGCCTTGCGCCAATCCATCGGTACCAAGCCAGTCATTAGAGAGTCTCTACAAATTAGATACAATGGCTTTGAAATTACACAGCTCAATTCTTTGAGAACACGTGTGTGTAAACCATCCGGTCCAGGTGCTTTGTTCACCTTAATTTTGTCTGTTTCTGGACCATATCAATAGTCAGCCATTGTGGTTCAGTAGAGGCTTTGGCGCTGTCATCCCCATTATGGACTTCAGTTACATTCTGTTCCTTGGTGTGCACAGAGCTGAAGAAGGTATTTAATAGATTTGCCTTCTCTTTGTGTCCAGTTACCGACTCTGAGTTATCTTTTAAGGGGCCTACATGCTCAGACCTGTTTTTTTTCTCTATATATATTTAAATAATTTTTAAAGAATTTTTGGGGGTTTGTCTTATAGACCCCTAAGTCTTCAAGAGCAGCCCTCAGCATGGGAAAATGTGCTCTCTTGAAGTTGTGTTTTTATTTCTCCAGTATGTGCATGTTGTTTACAACTCAAGTTAAATGAAATTATATTATAGTCACTGCTACCCAAATGTTCTTTTATATGAATATTTGTAATAAGCTCTGCATTGTTTGAGATTACCAGATCCAGCAGAGCATAATTTCTAGTTGGGGCTTCTACAAACTGTACCATAAAATTGTCATTGAATAAGTTCATAAATGTCCACCCTTTTACTGTCCCAGCAGTGCCATTATGCCAATCAATGTCAGGGTAGTTAAAATCTCCCATTTAATACCACTGTCCCTGCCCTTGCAGCCCTTTCTATCGGTGTAAGGAGCTGAGTCTCTGTCTCTTCATTAACGCTGGGGGGGGGCTGTAACAAACTCCAATAATTACCTTTGTGTTATGCATACCAGCATACAACTCCACACATAACGCCTCAGCACCATCACACTCACCATCACTAAAGTCCTCTTTCACACTCACTTTTAGATCACTTCTCACATAGAGACAAACACTGCCACCTTTTCGTTTTAGATTGTTCACTTCTCCTGCCTTCTCCATACTCTTCACCCTTTTGTGAATAACCCTTTATATCTGGGAAAGCAGGAGAACAGGGTGCACAATATATCCACTAGGAAGGGACCAATGCATCGAAATGATGATTTGGGGACTGGGTTTACCAAGTCTACATAGTGACCATTTGAATTAGCAAAAATAAAAATCTGAAACTAAATGCTTACTGCATTCTTACAATCAGATCATCTACTCAGTCAATGATTCCTGAAAGGAAGGCAAACTTTCTGAAAACATCTTCCTTTGAATCTCATTTGAAGGCTATGTATATTGGTTGTGTACACATTTTCTTTATTATGGTCAGTACTAATATATGCTTTTTTTCTTTTAGTCAGAGAAATATATAATTTGGCATGCTGGTATTATTTACTATTTTATTTAGCCAGTGGGTGGAGCTCCAAGATTCAATCATTACACTTTACCATCAGGTGTTTTAAAAAGCCTGTTGTTTACCAATATCAATAGATCAAGGTAAAAAGTACAGGCAGAACTGTATAAGTTAGTCATTATTCATTTATTTTTGGTAAATATAATTTTGTTTGATCAGATATATCATCTTTTCTAATTTCAGAAAGTTAAAGGTATGAACCTGGAAGATGTAGTAATTCTGAATGTAGACACAAACACCTTGGAGACACCATTTGATGACCTTCAGAATCTACCAAGTGAAGTGGTAAGTAGTGGCTAGTTGATCAGTTATTGTTTGTAGGTTAGGTTGTTTCTCCTATACAGGTGTAGAGAAGAGTATTCAAAAACTGAAACTCAAAACCCTACTTTTTACTTTGAGTAAAACCTAATTTTCATATGAACTGTGCTTGTAGTCTAAAAGTTAAATAGTACTTTGCTGATCATTGTTCAGGCCAGTGGCTCATTGATCCAGCCATTTTAGGCTCATACACTAGGGGGGCTATTCACAAAGCTGCCGAAGGAATAACTGAGCCAAAAAGAAAGGAGCCGAAGCCACTTTGGCTATTCACTGCAGCCCTGTATGGCTATTTTGGGTCCGCTTTACCTCCCTTTGGCTCGGCCGAACAGCCTGAACCAAAGGGAAGAACCCATTTGCCTCAGGCGATGCAACATCTGGATCGTCTGAGGCCAAAGTTCTGCAGTGCCGTTCCTGATGTTCAATCTATTCTGCAAGGGGGCGAACAACAGAGAATGAATTGCTGACTGCTCAGCTCTGGTAGGAATGTTAGGAGGGACCCCCCAATGTAAAACAAACAAAATTAAAAATGTGTAGGCGTTCCCCAACAAATTCATAGCAGAATTTTAAGGAGGACCCCAACTCCAAAAAAATCAAAACCGATCATAAAGCAGCCATCCAGATGACAAGCCCCTGTGAATGTGTAAGGAGCAGTTGGTGACCCTATTTATTCACCAAAAAGTTAATTTAAAAAAACACCTTGAAAAAGTCATTTAATTGAACAAAAACAAAAGCCAGTTTTTGACAAGTCCTTTATTATATTTTTTAAAAAGTGTGAAATGATGCAACCCTAAGGTCAATTATCACATTGTCCAGCGATGTAACACATTGTTGGTCATGCTGAACGAAGCGTGCCCAAGAAAGTCCCCTTGCCCGTCGACCCGTCCGCTACCGCTAAACACCGGCTGCAAAATTAGGTCCAGGCCAAATGTGAACAAAGGGGTGGAGCGAGTAGTGACTTCACAACTTGTTCCACCCATTTGTTTTCATTCAATGGCAGCTCTGTGTCCTCAAATGGCATGTAAACCAATAGGCGGAGCGAGTCCCATAACGCCCATCCCAAACTTGTTTGATAGGGTTGAGCGTGCTATGCAAGCCGCTAAAGTTCCTCCATACCAAACTCATCAAATCATATCTTTATGGACCTGAATTTGTACATCTGAACTGAATCATTTGTAGGGATTTCCACATACTTTTGACCATATACTGTATCTGTCTCTGAGAGAGAATATGAAATTGTACAAGGAAATGTGAAAAGAATCTGCTACATTTCCACAACACATGTAACATTCATATAATAAAGTATACTCGGTATGTTTGAAATTAAGTGCATTTCCACTTTTTGAGCCAAATTGAGATAACACCAACTTTACATTTGTTGCATGTTCCCATTTGCATAACATGAAAACATTTTTTTTAATGATGTTTCTGCAAACTAAAGGACTGGAAAATCTTGCATGGGTTTCTGTCTGGGGGGTTGGGCGGGATTTGGTTTCAAATAATAAACCCTGTCTGTACCATGCTGGCAAAATTCATTATTACTTGTAAAACTAGATGTGGCAGGGCTGTATATCCCTAACAAAGGGTTAAAGACCCGAACGCATTGTATGGTAATTACTGCCCCTCAGTCAGTCCCTTATCAGCTCACAGGCATCTATTCTAACCTGCCTGTAGCACTACATGCAGCCCTAAAAGCTACCTGTAGAGCCCTATGTATAATCCTGCTCCAAAGAAACTGCTGGATAGGTAAAAACTTTTTTTTCCCCAGTTTTTTTCAGGTATGCTATGTGAATAATCACACATAACCTAACATATATAGGGGATTTCCCAAATTTGGCTGCAAAATTGGAAATACCCTTTAAGCATATTTGTGCTTCAAGAAAACAGTTAACTGACTAATGTTTCTCTTTACCTGTCTCTAAGCTTGATTAAACACAATGCAATCATGTTCTAAAGTATAGCACACCCTTACATACCCTTTCTAAGCTTCTGATTTGCTCTCTGCTTCCTCCTGTGACAGTTGTCACAGCCCCATTAGCTGATTAGGAGATTTACAGCACCTTCCTGTGAACCTAGGATTTCATGAACCCACTGGCCTCTGCATCATAATGCAACCTGGGTTCACAGTGTAATTCTGTATGGAATGGTGCTAACATGCCACAATGTTTGCTGTGTGGGCACCACAGTGTGACACTGGAGATGAAGAGCAGGGACAGTACTTATCACAAGATCATATAGAATATTCTCAGAACTAAGGTATGTATGCTTTAATTTTTAAAATTCATGTGCAGAGAGGAGTGGGGAAGGGTTTGAGTTTTATTTTGGGTGGGGGGG